GGTGATCCATGGACGGGTCACCTGCTGCTGCTGGTGGGGGCTCAGCTGGAGCACCAAGAGATGGAGCCGGGAACGTCCCCAGGGATGCCAAGAACCAGGGGGGTTCAGCACTCCTGGCCTGGTGCAGAGGAGCTGTGCTGCCCTGCCAGAGCCGGGGAAACCGAGGCACAGTGTGGGAGCTGCTCCCAAACCCCGGCCCAGGGAATCTCCTTGGAAAGCAGGAGATGATGGGCGGGGGGGCCCAGCAGCAGGAGCACGTCCCAGACATGGAGTTTGCTCTGCTCCCGCAGCATCCCAGCCTCCAGCAGCTCTCCTGCCTTTCCTACCCTCTGGCTCCGGGAGCACGAGGGACCCCCAGACGGCCCCACAACCCCCCCGGGCTGGCGATGGGGCAGGATGTGACCCCTCAGCAGGAGCAAACCCCCTCCCCGCTCCCTCCCACCGCCCCGCTCCGAGCCCGCTCTCCCCGCAAACACGTCTGCGAGGGAAGGATCCAGAGCCCGGAGAGGCTCTAATGGGATGCTTAAGCCGCCTTTTAGGTTTTTAATGAGCGGATCCCGGCAGGAATGCTAAACACGGGCAGGTACAGCCCAGCCTCGCCGGCAGCCGCGCGTGTTCCCGTGTCCTTGTCTGGCTGAAGTGAGCTCTGACCTCATTTGCTTCGCGCCGTTCAATTAACGAGGCGAGCGGCGGTGGGACGGGGGGGGGGGATGCTGGAAGGGGTTCACCCCGTGTATTAATTTCCATTTTATGTTCCAAACAATTGAGCAGCACACGGAAGCAGCCGGTCCCTGGCGGGGCCGTTCCCAGACTCCGCTCTGGGATTTCCTGGGGACCCCCAGCTCGGAGCCGGTGGTTTGGGGGCTCGGGGGGGACCGTGGGGGTCCCCGCCCTGGCCTCGCCATCCCGTTCTCCACCCGGGGAAGGGCCCTGTCTCCTTATTTGGTTAATGTCCCTCCATCTTGTGCTTCATCCGGAACGTCGATGGCCGCCAATGAGACAGAAATGATTGGGAAAGGGCGACAGAGGGAATGAAATGTTTCCCGGGATGTTAAAATAGCGACTTCAGGCACCTAAATTTATGCTGCTCTGAAATGGGTTTTAGCCCAGTGTAATGAGAGAACAAAATAATTAATTCCTCTCCCGCAGACAAAAGGCTGGAGGCTCAAATCCAGCCCCATCGTCCCACTGAGCCGGTGGAGGATGGGACAGTTCCTGGAGCCGGGGCTGGATCGTGGAGGTGCAGCCCAGGGGCTGGATCTGCACCCCGGGAACGTGACAGGGTGCTGCAGAGGGCAGTCCCCTCCTCTTGGGGATTTCGGGGTGCTGGGGTGTGCCGGGGACCGGGGCTGCCCCATCCCAATCTCCCTCTGCCCAGGCTGGATCCAGCCCCACGCCCCACCCAGTGCCCACCCACGGGTGTCTGTGGGTGCCGTGGGGGGGGTTTTACCCCTCGCTGAGACCTGAACTGTGGGGTTTCCAAAAGGAAATGGGCTTCCTCTGTGCTTCCAACACAGCCTCCCACTCTTTTGGGGCCGGGGATGAACGGGGGGATTGTGCTTGTTCGGGATCAAGTGATAAATATTAATTATGCAAACCAGCCTTTTCCAGACCACCCTTGTCTCCACAACATTCCAGGACGGGGGAGAAATGGAGGCAGAGTCAATTTATTCATGGAGCAGGTCACTCCCTGTACGAACATCCCTTTCAAAAGGGAGTTGCAACTGGAGGAGATCAAGCAGGGTTGAGTTTGCCTCCCTCAGATATGATAAAATATTCTAATAAATACTCAGGAAGTCCCTGTTGAGAACAATGTTTTGTGCCATCGAGACCTTTGCAGCAGCATTTTTAGTGGGGGTCTCCCACTGCCCCTCAGCCCCATCAGAGGGTCAGTGCCCCATGGGGTGCTCTCCCTGTTTCCAATTTTTAGTAAGAAAACATAAAAATTGGTCATTCAGGAGGAATTTCCTCCTCTCTTTGCTGCAGGAACCACAGCAGCTCACAGGACATGGGTATAACAGCACCCCAGCCCTATCCCCACTCCCACCCCATTCCTGGACCCATTGCAACCCCATTCCCGGACCCATTGCAACCCCATTCCCATCCCATCCCCACTCCCTTCCCATCCCTGGCCCCATCCCAAACCCATCCACAGTCCCAGCCCAGTCCAATACCCAGTCTCACCCCATCCCTGGCCTCATCCCACCTCTCTCCTCAATCCCACATCCATTCCCATCCTGTTCCCGGCCCCAGCCCACCCCATCTCTAATCCTAATCCCATCCCAGCTCTACCATTCCCAGTCCCACTCCCACCCTTCCCAGCCCATTCCCACTCCATCCCCGTAACCCAATCCCGCCCCAATCCCAATCCCAGCCCCTCCCCGTCCCCTCCCACCCCCCGTTTCTCCCCCGCCCCCCCCTGTCCCCATCCGGTGGGCGACGGCGTCACCGTGCGGCGGCTGCGGGCAGCGCCCGCGCCCCCCGGCAGGACGAGACCCCCTGTCCCGGGGGGTACCGGGCTCCGGGGGCTCGGGGGGACAGGCCCCGGCCCCCGTGGGTGCAGGGCTGCGGGCGCTCCCCGAGGTGCGGGGCAGGGTGGGGGGCTCGGCGCCGGGGGGTGCCGGGTGGTCCCGGGGATCGGCCGCGGTGCCCCCGCCCCGGCCCCGCCGCGGGGCCCGATCCTGCCGGGGGGTTGGGGAGTCGGGGCCGCCCGGACCCCGCGAACACCGGGCGGGTCCCGCAGCCCCGGGGGGCGGGGGGTGGCGGGGGTGGTGCAGTGGCGGCGCCGGGCCGGGGGGTGGCACGGCCGAGCCGGGCGGGAGCGCGGCGGCCGCCGGTGATGCTGCCGGGGAGGGTCCCGGTGCTCCGCAGCCCCGGCCCCCCATCACCACCTTCCTCTCTCCCTGCAGCCCCGCGCTCCCGCTTCCCGGCGTCTCGGCAGCCTCCCATCCCTTCATCCTCCCATCCCTGCATCCTCCCATCCCTTCATCCTCCCATCCCTTCATCCTCCCATCCCTGCACCCGCGCTGCCCGGCATCCCTGCTTCCTGCATCCCGGCATCCCTCCATCCCGGCATCCCTCCATCCCTGCCTCCTCCCATCCCTCCATCCCAGCGCCGCTCGGCGCCCTGTGAAACCCGGCCAAGGATCTGAGCCGTGACCGCTCGGTTTTGGGGAGCGGCGGGGGCCGCCCGGGCCCGAGGGGGCCGCGGCCGGGCTCAGGACCAGCCCCGGGGCGGGCGGGGGCTCAGGACCCCCCGCGCCGGGGATGAGGCAGCGCCGGGGGGGCCACGAGCGACGCCGCAGGTAACGGTACGTGCTGGGCCCCGACCCCACCCCAAAATTGCCGGGGCTGCGGGGGCGGGCGGGGGGGCCGAGGGGGGGTTTAGGGGTGGCTGCACGAATCGGGGTGCAAACACCCAACGTGCCGGCCCGTGGGTGCAGCCTCCGGCCTGCCGGGCTCCGCAAAGCCCGGGGATCCCCGGGAAGGTGGGGATGGGGCGGGAAAGGGGGAGGAGGGCGGTGGGAAAAGCCGTGGGGGGACACAGGACACAGCGGGGGGGGGGGAACGGGGGTATTATCTCGGAAAAGGCAGCGTACGTGCCTGGTGGGAAGGGGATTTGCGGCCGTGGTTCCACGCTCGATAATCCCGGCCGCTGGTTTTCCCGGGGCCATCTGGGCGCTCCGGGGGAGGGGGGGCCGTGGCCATGCCGGGGTCTCCCCTTGCCAGCAGCTGGCGGGAGCTCGCCACCCCCGGGCCACCATGCCGTCCTCCAAGAGCGAGAGCGAGTTCTGGATCGATGGATCCCACCGCGAGGTGGCCCTGGAAGATTTCTACGTCGTGGGCCCCGAGCTGGGACGGTACGGGCTGGGAGGGGGACTGGGAGGGACTGGGTGGGGGCAGAAGACCCCCCGGGATGGGAGCGTGTCCTGGTCGGGGCAGGGACGGGCCTGGTGAGGGGAGGGGTGGAAGGATGTGGGGAGGAATGGAGGGACGTGGGAAGGGGTGGAGGGATACAGAAGGGGTCAGAGGGATTCATGGGGAATGATGAAGGGATGCAGGGAGGGATGGGAAGATGGAAGGATGGACTGGGGAGGGTGGACTGTGGCAGACCCTCCCCTCACACGTAACCTGGGCCTTGGTTTGTGACGCTGCAGCCGCGGTCTGGGAGCATCAGGGGGGGCTGGCAGGGTGGGCCTGGGGTCCCTGTCCGTGTGCAGCTGGATGTTCCTCACCCGTGGTGGGGAGTGGGATCATGGGGACACCCAGGTCCCCTCTGAGCACCCCAAGGCTCTGGGGTTGGGCCATGAGGGTTCCGCCTGCAGCACCCCCTGCAAAAGACAGGCAGTGCCAGCCCCCACAAAGGGACACAGGCTTTGGATTCCCAGGTCTGGATTTGTCCCCCCTGGCTTGGAAAACCCGTCCAAAGGCACTGATTGTGATCCCGGGGGAGGTGTCCCAGTGCCCCCCGGGGTGGGGGGTGCAAAGGGGTGCTGGGAGCCCCCCTGGAAGCTGGGAAGGTTGATGGTCCTGTTGGGGGGGGCTCCAGGATGTGCAGGTGGGTTTGGTGGTTCAAGCCGGGCCAGTCCCAGCTGCCCTGGGTTGCCTTTGGCAGAGGATCCTGACAAAGAACAGTTTTGGTAAAAGCAGGAATTTAAGAGCTCTTGTTGAGGTGTGGCCAAGTCAGCCCAGGGCTTGGCAGTTCCCAGCCCTGCAGAGATGGATGTAGGACAGAGGGACAGGCCTGGAGCCCCTGGAATCAATCCATCCATCCGTCCATCCAGTTTGAAATCACACGGGTCTCAGTCTTGGAGCCACCCACTCACGGCCACACGCCCGGATCCAGGTGGGATCTGGGGCACTGGGAGCCCACTCACCGTGCACAGCTTTCCCTTAGTGCCTCTCCTGGCAAGGCTGGATCCAGCTGTGGCCAGGAAGCCCCAGGGAGCAGGAGAGGGATGGAGGGAGCCGGGGAGGGATGGGGTGGCAGCGGGGAGGCCCCAGCCTGGGGCTGCTCCCGGCCTTCCCTCCCTGCACATGCCGGTCTGGGCAAATCCCATTGTTCGACATTTTCCAGTTCATCTGGAAAGCAAATGCAATTATCTCCTGTCCAGCCAAGGTTGATTGGGGCTATTTATTCGAGGCCTTGAGCGGGGTCGGGGGTGTAGCGAATTCCGGCGCAAATCCAACCGCGGCCGTAATTGGGGGAATGTGAGGGGCAGCCGCGGGCACAGCGGGCACAGGAGCCGCTCCGGCTCCTCCTAAACGCCGAGCCGAGCGCTCCTAAATGATCCGAGCACTCCTAAATGATCTCGTTAGCGGCGGCAATCAGGCTGGGAATTGTCCGTGCGGAAAAATCCGGCGGGAGGGCGACGGGTCCGGGCTGGGATTCAGCTGCTGGCGAGGGGGTGGAGGGTCCTGTCCCTGCATCCAGCCCGGCTGGGAAATTAGGAGAAAACCTCCTGGCCTGTCCTACTGGAAGCGCATTGTCGTGGTGGTGACAGCAGCAGCGGTGCCATTTTGGGTTCAAGTCGCAGCTTTTGCCCGTTTTCCCGAGCTCGAGCAGGCGGTGGCCACCTCTCCCCTCCCAGAGGCAACAACCTGCTTCCAAATCGCTCTTTGTGTGCAAAGTAGAATTTCATGGAAAGCGTTGGGCGAAGGGATGAAAATGTTTTGAAACGAGGCCGGGTCTGGGGTTTGCTCCCCCCGGGCCCCGCAGCATCCCGGTGGAACTCGGTACCCGGCTCTGCCGTTGCCATGGGAACACCATTCCCAAATTCAGCCGGATGAGTCGCAAAATCTGCTCTGGGTTTGAAGGCAAATCCCTCTTTCAGGAGAGCACCCGGGAGCGCGGGAGGGGTTACGGTGGAGGTCGCGCAGCCCTGCCCGGGGGCAGGTTTGGGCTGGGGGGAGGTTTTGGTGTGGAAGTCGGTGGGTTTGGGTGTCTGTTCTTGCCAGCCCGAGGGTACGGGCAGGGGGGTTGCCGGGCACCTCCTGGCACAGCCTGAGCTCCGTCCCAGAAGGCGGCGAAGCCAAAGTGCAGTAAAACGCGGCCGATTACTCGGGGGCAGGAATTAATGTGCTCCAGGAGCCAGGCAGGGAGATGGAATTGCAAATGAGCCCCGGAATGGCCCCGAGCGACGACGGGGCTGATTTCACCGTCCAGCGCTCAGAAAACGTGATTAACTCGATCTGAGATCGCCGCGGGCTGAGGGCACCGCGGGGGTGGGGAGGGAACAGTCCCCGTGTCACCGTTCAGCCCGGCCGGGAGGTGTGTGGTGGTGACAGGGGCTGCCGTGGCCGTGGGGACAGGGCGGGGGCCCTGGCACCATCCCTGCTGTCCCCGAGAGCGGGGCCACGGCGGCTCCGTCCTGTCGGGAAAGCCGCTTAAGGATTTAAACCCCCTGTAGGACTCGGGTTTAATTACAATGGCTTTGGCCCGGAAAAAGCCGGGAATGATGCGGGAGGGGGTGCAGGAGGAGGGGGATGCAGGAGAGGGATGCAGGAAGGGGATGCAGGAATTGAGGGGGGGGAGTGCACGAGGATGGGGATGTACAAGGAGGGAGGTGCAGGAGGATCCATAAGAGGGGGATCCATAAGAGGGGGATCCATAAGAGGGGGATCCGTAAAGGGGGGATCCATAAGAGGGGGACCCACACTGAGCTCCCAGGACCTGACACTGGCAAAGGTGCTGGTGAGGGGCACAGGGAGAGTGGGACCCCCTGCCCTGTCCCAGCCTCACGCCCCCCATGCCCTCCCAGGGGAGCCACCTCGGTGGTGTTCAGCTGCCAGGAGAAGGGAACAGGAGCGCCCTACGCTGCCAAGATCCTGAAGAAGACGGTGAGTGTGTGTGTGGGGGGGTTTATGGGGGGACTGCAGGTGGGGGGCTCAGGGTGGGGGGATGCAGTGGGAGGGAGTCCCCCCCTCCCTGCCAAAGCACCAGGACGGGCACGGGGCTGTCACTGGGCATCACTCCCGTGGTCTGGGGGGTCCCAGGTGGCCGAAACCGCTGGGGTTTGGGCTGGGGGTGCAGCAGGGGGGCACTGGGGGCATTTTTCTGTGGAAACAGGCCCTAGGACAGACATGGGAACGTACTGAGGGAGGGTCTCTGATGGGGGGCCAGACTCAGGCCCAGTAGCACAGGTGACACAACCTCTGTGTGGGCTCTGCTTTCCAGATCGACAAAAAGATCGTGAGGACGGAGATTGGGGTCCTGCTGAGGCTCTCACACCCCAACATCGTGAGTACAACCCCCCTGACCCAGCTCCCAGCTCCCTTTGGGTCGGGTCCAGGGCTCCTGGTTTCCCCTTAACTCTGCCCACAGGCAGCCCAGTGCTGAGGGAAGAGCTGGGATGTCCTTGTCCTCATCCCATCCCGGTGCAGGATGAACCCATCGCCCCATGGGAAACCCTCCCTGCACCCCCTGTCCCCTTCCTGCAACCCCTGTCCCCTCCCTGCAACCCCTGTCCCCTCCCTGCACCCCCTGTGCCCTCCCTGCCTCCCAGACAGGGTCCAGGTAACTCCCCACTCGCTGCCACATAAAATTCCTGGTCCTTGCAGCTCCTTTGAGCTCCCACCTCTGATATCAAGGACTCTCCATCCTCCTCCTCCCCCCCTCCTGAATCCCCTGGCCTGAGATTTCCATTCAGTAAGCAATTTCCACCGAGGAGATCAAATGAATCCCACAGAAAATTGCCCGTCTGTAATGAATCCTGCGAGGGGAGATAAAAGGGGAGGCCAGGGCCGGGGGGCTGGGGCCGTGTCCCTCCCCTGCCTGTCCTTGCTCAGCGCCCGGGGGATAACGGGAGGGTGGATGGGGCTGGGGGGCTCCGTGCCACCGCCCCCCCACCTCCCCAGAAAGGCTTATTCCCGCCTGATTAGTTCCACTGGAAAATTGCAAAAGCGTCTTGGAGAGCACCTGAGTTACAGAAGTGGCACAAAAAAGCTGCCTGGCAGCTGCAGTGGGGCTGAGGGCCAGGGTGGGACAGGCCCCGCTCCCGTTGGGACTGCGGCTGGGACACTGCTGGGATGTCACTGGGACACTGCTGGGATGTCACTGGGACGTTGCTGGGATCTCACTGGGACCTTGTCTTCCACTGGCTGCTCCTGCCCAAGCTGCACGTCCCCCAAACCCAGGGCACAGTTGCTTCCAGCCCAGCTTTGCTCTCTGGAGGAGCCCTAAAACCTCGATGCAAAGAAATGAAGCCAAGAGAAATCCAACATATCCAAACCCAGGAATAACGGGGGAAAAATGCTGGGGCTGGGATGTCCCTAAGCCCCTCAGCCAGCTGGGTGTGGGCCTGCCTTGGGGTGTTACAGTGTTTTGGGGCAGTTTGGTGCTTCAGCCTTTTCCATGGAGACATTCCCCCAGTGCCAGGGCAGATGCAGGGATAACAGCCAGGGTGGGGATCACCTGCTCAGAGCAGCCCAGCTGATCCTGGCCGTGGATGGGAAGAGGCTCCTCTCTGATGTGTTATCAGAAACACAACAGAAAATCCAATTTCTGCCTTCCCTCCTCCTCCCCTCTGCAGGCAGCGGCTCCACCAGCCGTGGAGGAGGATCCAGCCACTTTGAATATTTAAATCCCCGAGGTTTCTGTAGGGTTCTGCTCATCCCAAGTTCAAGTGATTGTTGAAGAGGAGCTGCTCTGTTCCATTATTGACGCCGGAGCCGTCTCCGCTCTCGCTATCGTGCGGCACCGACCTCGACAGCGGCTGATAATAGGATTGTAAACTTTTGAAGTTAATGGGAAAATTATAGTGCTCCGTGTATTATTCTAATGCAATAAGCTGCCACATAGTGTCTCTCACCCCGCGGGGGCTCACGGCTTGTCACCCAGCCTGGGAAGGGAATGATTAAAGCCCCATGAAATTCGTGGTGTCACAAAAGCCTTAAGAAGCATGAAATTCTTGGGTTTCCATTAAAAAAAAAAAAAAGGCAAAATTGCATTTTGACGTCGCTGTTTTGAGAGAGAATCGTCGATTCCAGATGGGCTGGGGCGGCACAAAGGGCTCGGCCCGTGTGGGAGCTGAGACACAAAACTCAGGAGGAAAACACTGGTTGGTGCCTCTTCTGCTGCAGAACAGTCCCAGGGACAGTTCAGTCTTAGAGTGGATCCCGTGGGGCTCTGTCTGTGTCTCCTGCACCCCGGCCCAGGGGGATGTGCAGGATTCATCCCACGGGATGGAGGCAGGGCTGGGCAGAGGCACCGAGGCTGCGAAATTAAACCTCTCTCAGGGAGCTCCTCCTCTGGTAAACGAGCTCGGAGACATGAAGAGGATAAAGGCACCGGGGCTCCTCCCGTTCCCAGATTTATCTTCAATCTGTGTGAAGTGAGCAGGGCTGCTGCAAACACTTAAAACAATTCGTGTTTAAACAAATCCAGAGGCAAGGAGGGGAAACTGGTGCTGGTTGCCCTGAAACAACCCTTCTCCCCTGGTGGTCAAATGCTCCTCCCAGCACAGCTGGGATGCGGATCCCACATCCCTCATCCACATCCCACCCCCCTCCTGTCGCCCTTTCCAGATCAAGCTGAAGGAGATTTTCGAGACGCCCTCGGAGATCGCGCTCGTCCTGGAGCTGGTGACGGGGGGAGAGCTCTTTGACAGGTATGTCCAGCCTGGGGTCCCCAGGATGGGGATCCCCCCCACGGATGGCGGGGGGAGGATGGGGATGGAGGGGGCTGATGGTCCCGTGTGCCCCCAGGATCGTGGAGAGGGGGTTCTACAGCGAGCGGGACGCGGCTCACGTGGTCAAGCAGATCTTGGAGGCAGTTTCGGTAACGGGTCTTTCAGGGAGGGGGTCCCACGGGGGGCTTGGGGTGTCACTGTGGGGGCTGCACCCAAATATCCCCGGGGAGAGGCACCCAGAGCTGCACCCATCCCAAATACCCCTGGGGGAGGCATTTGCCCGCTCAGCCTTGGCCTTCCACAGGCACCTCTGCAAGGTGGATCCACTGTTAGGGGGGGTGAAGGGGAGAAGGGAGGAAGGTCAGTGCTGCTCTGCATCCCGGGTCTGCTGGAGGTGGGGTTTCTATGGAAACAGGAGGGTTTAAAAATGGGAACTCCTAACTGGAAACGTCCTCCCCAGACCCCCCCATGACCCTCCGTGAGGGCTGTTCCCAAAGGACCCCCCGGGCGAGTCAGTCCTGGGTTTGTTACGGGTCCCCAGTTGCTGCTGCCACCTCCCAAATTCTGTCCGAGTCCGTTCCCTTCCTTCCCTCATCTCGCTTTTTTCCCTCTGTGCAGTATTTGCACGAAAACGGGGTCGTCCACCGGGACCTGAAGCCGGAGAACCTGCTCTACGCAGACCTGTCCCCCGACGCGCCCCTCAAAATCGGTGGGTCTGGGGGCCCTGCTGGGGGGGTCGTGGCACGAGGGGGGGGTTCCTGGTGCCTCTCCCTGATGGCAGCGCTGCTTCCCTCTGTCCCTCCAAGGTGACTTCGGGCTCTCCAAGATCGTGGACGAGCAGGACACCATGAAAACGGTCTGCGGGACGCCGGGGTACTGCGGTGAGCGGGGTGGGGCTGGGCTGGGAGGGGGGTCTGGGGGGGCCCTTCCCTGCCTGAGGCCGTGCAGGGGTTGCTGGTGGCTGTGCCAGGGACGCCGTCGGTGCCCAGGAGGCGTTTCCTCTGCCGTGAGGCTCCCCCCGTGCCGGGTGGGGGGTGTGTTTGAACCCCCAAATCCTCTGCTTCCAGCCCCCGAAATCCTCCACGGGTGCCCCTACGGCCCTGAAGTGGACATGTGGAGCGTGGGCGTCATCACCTACATCCTGTGAGTGCCTCTGCGGGGTGGAACCGGGGCCGGGAGGGTTTGTCCCACCCCATCCCACAGCTCCTCTCAACCCACCCCTCAACAGGCTCTGTGGCTTTGAGCCCTTCTTCGACCCCCGGGGGGACCAGTACATGTACAGCCGCATCCTCACCTGCGACTACGAGTTCGTGTCCCCGTGGTGGGACGAGGTGTCCCCCAACGCCAAGGACCTGGTGAGCGGGGCGGCCCTGGGGAGCTCAGGGGCAAGGCCTCGGCTCAGCCCAAACCTGGGGCGTTTTTGTCACCTTTTAGGTCAGAAAACTGATCGTTTTGGACCCCCAGAAGAGGCTGACGGTCTACCAGGCCCTGGAGCACCCCTGGGTCACCGGGAAAGCCGCTAAGTTTGCTCACATGGACAGCACGCAGAAGAAGCTGCAGGAATTCAATGCCAGGAGGAAACTGAAGGTGAGAAGGGGCACCCAACCCCCTGGGGATGGTCGTGTCTCCTCGGGCAAAGGGCTGGGGCCACCCAGAGCCGTTGTCAGTGGGGTTGTGGACCCCCCACCCCAAGCAGAGTGACATGTGACAGTGCAGGTGTGGAAGGTGGTGAAGGTTGATGGAGCTGCTGCAGGGAAAAGCATGGCCAGAGGGGAAGGGCTGGGCTGCCACCTCCCCTTTCACTGCTCGGGGCTTTGAGAGTGGCTTTGGAGGGGAGAATTCTGCCGAAGACCTGCTAACGACCACTCAGTGCCCAAAGGAACCGGCTGGGGCTGGATATGGGGGGTTGGGATGGACATCTGGAAAAGCTCCTTCCCCCAGAGGGTGGTGGGCACCGACCAGGCTCCCCAGGGCAGTGGGCATGGCCCCAAGGCTGCCAGAGCTCCAGGAGGGTCTGGACAACGCTCTGGGGGACAGAGTGGGATTGTTGGGGTGTCCTGGGCAGGGGCAGGGGTTGGACATGGCTGGTCCTTGTGGGTCCCTTCCAGCTCGGGGTGTTCTGTGACTCTGCATTTCTGTGACCCTGTGCCCCTCGTGCCTTTGCCACAGGCTGCCATGAAGGCCGTGGTGGCCTCCAGCCGCCTGGGCAACCACGGGCACCACGACGGGCGCAGCCAGGGGGGTCCCCGGGGCCCCCACCCGCCCCAGGGCTCGGGGACCGCCGGCCCCGGAGCCACCACGGCCAGCGAGGACCTCGGCGTGTTCCAGAGCGACCACCCCGCCGTGCCCCCCGTGCCCCTGCCCGGCGCCGGCTGCCAGAGCTAACGGGGTCACCTTCCACCACCAACACCCGCCGAGCCCCGGGGGGAGCCGGGGGGGGCCGTGAGAGCCCCGAGCCCGTGGTTTGAACTGTGGGACGTCCTTCTTTTGTGTCCTGTTCCCGTGAGTCGTCCCGGTCCTGTCCATGCGTGTCTGTGCCCACCTGGCTCCGGGGGGACCGGGCGGGGCTGGGATGTGACTCCTGGGATGTGACTCCTCTTCCCACGGTCTCCGGGCTTGGAAAGGTCCCAAGTGGCTTAAAAACGAGGAGCAAAGAGCGGCACAAAGGATTTCTCTCCCCTCCCCTCCAGAGGCAGTGGGTTGTCTTTGAGGGGTTTGTACGTTCCTGTAAATAGTCCTGGGAGGTTTATCTCTTTAGATTATTGCTGCCCCTTGCTGTGATGTCTCCAGTGCTGTCACCAGGCCCAGCTGGGGGTTTGCTGCTGTGTTAGACGAGGTTTCAGGAGCCTCTGAACCCAGATTTTTGATCCTCTCTGGAGAAAAGTGTGTGCCAGTGGTTCCCTTGCCATCCCTAGTTGGCGGCTGACCTCCAATTTGTTTTTCTTCCACCTGGTTTTGTGTGTTCCCACCTCGTCTCGCTGTGGATTCATGGTGGTGGTGGGGTTGTCGTGGAACTGGGAATGCTGGTCTGGCCTCTCCTTGGCACTCCAGGTCAGCATTTACACAACAGTTTTAAGGAAGAACAAGCAACCCTTTCTAGGGTGCTTTGTGGGAGGCTGTAACTGCTGTGCCCTGAGGGAGGAAAATGAGTTTATACCTACTTGGGTTGTTTGTTTGTTTTTTAACGAAATCAGGGAACAAACCTCTTGAAAAGAAATTTTCTAGGCAGCACTTACCGAGCATTTTCAGATTTTAATACAGAACAAGTGACCAGACAGGAAAAGCCATATTCCACCTGGGAATTACAGAGAGCTGGCAGCTGCACAGCCCCAGCTTGGGGGGGTCCAGCAAGGTTTGATTCCTGAGGCAGTCCATGGCCTGCACCCCCACGGTCTGGGTTTATAGCAGCGTGTTCAGGGCAAAACCCCACCTGGAGGAGAGTCAGTGTGTGCAGGAGGTTCAATCCCCCAGGACAGGGGTGCAGAACTGAACAGCTGATACAGGAGGGGCAAAAACGCCCCAAAATGGGTGTTTTGCCGAAGCTGAAGCCGCGGTGACGGGCCCAGGGGTGACAGAGCAGGGTCAGCAGGGCCATCAGAGCACAGGAGGAAAACGTGGCATGAGGATTTTGTGTTTATTTGCAGCACAGGCAGAAATCAAAAGGGCTCCGTGGAAGGGCTGATCCACCGTGTGGAGCTCAGTGATGTTTAGGGAGCTTGTAAAGCCAAACACAGAGGAGAAATAGGATGTTCAGGGGGGGGTTTTACTTGGAAAAATATTATGTCTTGAGCAGAACTGGCCTTTTTTTAACTGAGTTGTACCTGTGTGGGATGTCACGGGGGAGGACGTGGACACTGAGCCCGTGGGATGCTGCAGCACCAGGAAATTATCCCTTTTTCTTTGCATTTTGCAGCAGGGGCAAGTTTTTTCTCTCCTTTTTCTAATACCGAGGGCTGACCTTTGCAGTGTGTTCTCATCTCCAGCCTCTGTCCCACCCTTTGTTGTGTCCTTCCAGCTCCGTGTTGTCTCCATGTGCTCCAGTGGGACCAGAACCCCACCTTGAACCTTGTTGTTTATTAACCCGGGTTTTAAAGACTGTTTTATATCCTTTGACATGAAAGACTGATTAAAGCACCTTGCAGGACCAGGCTGGAGTGCTCAGCACCCCCAGAGCCTGGGAAGCAGGGACTGGTGCTGGGAATGGCTGAGTGACATTGCTGAGC